TGTGGAGATTTACCAACGTACGGTTATTTGCGTTTAGGGTTTTTGGGAAATAGGGAGACTGCAGTTGAAAGAGACAGACGAGCGGCAGACTGAGGTGAGATGGGAAGAGTTGAGGGGTGTGGAAATTTTATTTTAATTGTTGTAAATAATTTTTTTTGACGTGTCATTATTTAATTTAGTGTTTAATTCTAAGGAAATTTAAAAAATTATTGTTTTTGAGAATTTTTATTTGAGAAAAATATTATGAATTAATATTTTTTTGAAAAAAATTAAGAATTAATATTTTTTTAAGTTTATACTAACGATTATGATAATAATTGTTAAAATATAATATATTTATACTAATAGATATTTATATATTGTCAAAAAAAATTTACTTATAGTAATAGTTGTACAAAATGTTGAAATAAATATTATATATTTTGATAATATTAAAAATTCATTAGTATTAATATTTTTTTATTGACGTAATTTGACTGTCAGTATAATCAAGCGTTAATTTCTCTAACAAATTTTTATAGTGTGTATTAACTAGTAGATATAATCGTCAGTATATCCTATGGCTATGTTGACAATTAATTATTTTTATTGGTATAAGTATCGTTTACTTATAGATATTTTTTATTAGTTGAAATTTATATCGATAGTTAAAATACAATATGTCAATATATAAATACATATATTGATGATTATTTATATATTGTAAAAAAAATCAATATATACTGACGAAAGAATAAAGTGATGGTATTGACACTGTTTATACTTACAATAACAAAAATATGTCAGTATAGATTTTTTTTACTTGCATAAATTTACCATCCATATAGGTAAGTGTCAGTATATAATATATTTATAATGATGGATAGTCATATACCTTCAAAAAAAGTTTATCTATACCGATGGTTGTATAAAATGTTGGTATAGGTATAATATATTATGATGATATTAAAATTCATTAGTATAAATTTCTTTTACTAACACAATTTGACCATCAGTATACTAAAATTTTATTGTAGTATTAGTTTTGACAGCTAAAAGACTCAGGCAATACATGCTCTATCATACCACTTGGCTTATAGCCAAATTGAAGCCAATCAAGTACATCTTCAAGAAACCGTCATTGTCTATAAGGATTGCAAGATGGCAAATATGTTCTACAAGTATGATATTGTATAAGTAAGTCAAAAAGCAATAAAAAGAAGTGCCATAGCAAAATTTTTTACAGATCGTGCTATTGAAAGCAATGAGCCAATGAAACTTGACTTTTTCAAATGAAGAATTAATGGCTGTTTTTGAGTTAAAAGGAGAAGATGATAATGAAAAGTCATGAAAAATGTATTTCGATAGGACTGTTAATGCCTTAGGGCATGAAATTAAGGGAATTTTGATATCTCCTGAGAGATGTTATTATACTGTTACGACAAGATTAAACTTCAATTGCACCAATAATGTGACAAAATACGAAGCCTATACCATGGGTTTACAAGCTGTTTTGGACAAAAAAATTAAATAATTAAAGATGTTTAGGGATTCAACTTTGGTTATTTATCAATTGAAAGGAAAATAGGAGATAAAAGATTCGAAGCTTCTCAGATATCATAAGTATATCTCAGAGTTATACAAACAATTTAATGAAGGAAGTCCAATTCGAACATTTGCCCTGTGAAAAAAATTAAATTACAGATGCCTCGGCTACTCTAGTTATGATGATCCAAGTTAATAATAACACTGAAATTTAACCCATTAGTTAGATGTCAAAGATATGTTGGTATATTGCATCAATATGAAAGAGGAAGAAGAAGGAAAGCCTTGGTATTATGATATCTTGTAATACTTAAGGAATCAATAATACAGATTAGGTAATAGAGAAAGAGTATTGAGGCGATTGGCTATGGGTTTCTTCCTTGATAGTGAGGTCTTTTATAAAAGAAGTAGAATTATTTGTTATTGTGATGTGTAAATACAGTTGAGGCAAGAAGATTATTGAGGATGTGCATGATGAGACATGTAAAGCACATGCAAATGGACACATAATGACAAAACCAATTATGAGAGTTGAATATTACTGGTTAATAATGAAAAATGATTACAATAATTATGCTCAGAAGTGTCACTAGTGTTAGATTTATGCTAACAAATTCCATGCTCTGTCCACTGCTTTACATATTTTGACACCACTTTTGTCATTCTTTATGTGGGGCATGGATGTTATTGGTCCTATTACTCCAAAAGCATCAAACGAGAATAGATTCATTTTCGTGATGATCGATTACTTCACAAAATGGGTTGAGACAACTTCTTACATAAATGTGACATAATTAGTAGTCTGCAAGTTTACCAAAAGAGAAACAATTTGCAGATATGAACTCTTTGAGAGGATCATCTCGTATAATACTAAGAATTTAAACAACAAGATGATGAAAGAGAAATGTGCTTAGTTCAAAATTAAGCACCATAATTCAACATCGTACCATTTAAAGATGAATAAGGCAGTAGCAACTATGAATAAGAACATTAAAAGGATTTTAGAGGAAATAACTAAGACGTATAGAGATTGGCATGAGAAATTATCTTTTGCTTTGCATGCTTATCGAACGTCATTATGTACCTCTACTAGGGTAACTCTATTTTTCTTAGTTTATTAGATAGAGACTGTATTGCCAATAGAAATAGAAATCCCGTCTTTGAGAGTTTTAAGAGAAGTGGGATTAGAGGAAGTTGAAAGGATTCAAAAGCGCTATGAGTGACCGAACTTCATTGAAAAAAAGAAGTTGGCAATGCTATGTTACGGCTAAGTATATCAAAAAATGATGATGAGAACTCGTGACAAGAAAATCTGACCTCGTCAATTTTAAAAATAAGAGTCGGTGTTGAAGAGAATTCTCTTGAATAAGCATGATAATAGAGGAAAGTAGACCCTAAATTGGGAAAGGCCATATATAGTAAAAATAGTTTTTTCAGGCAGAGCATTAATCTTAATAGAGATGGATGGCGATGATCTTCCCAATCCCATAAATTTTGATGTAGTGAAAAAATACTTTGCTTAAGAAAAAGAAAAAAAAGTGAAGAGTTCAAATAAAAAACCCAAAAAGTTGGTTTGAATTAAATGGGGTTTATCTAAGTTGAAAACCTATAAATATGACTTGGATAAAGAGAATAGAGCATTATTTGGGGCTTACACCAACATGAAAATTGGTATATTTTAAAAAGTTTTAAAGTGTTGAAGGCATGCTATGGTTGATTTTTTGGAAAGAATCTAAGATATATTATCATGATTATCTGAGTATTTATCTTCAGAATTTATGTACCACAACTAAAAGTTTATCATTGCATACATTGCATATAAGGAAATCCATTTCAGCTATCTAAAACAAAGATGGAGCAAGATCCAACATGGAGAATGCAAATACAATGATGGAGAAGAAATTTTCTCAAGTAAGATTTTTAATCTTTGAATAAAAAGTTTTTCAAAATCTTTGAACCTCTAATTAGAAGAACCCATTTTCTATTCATTAAGCCTTTGGTTAGAGGATTCTTATTTTAAAGTTGTTTAGCCTCTGTATAGAGGAGCCATTTCCTATTTTAAAGTTATATAGAGAAAAGTCATTTCTTATTTTAAATTTGTTTAGGCTCTGTATAGAGAAGCCCATTTCCTATATTAAAGTTATTTAGCCTCTATATAAAGAAGCCAATATCTTATTTTAAAGTTATTTAGCCTCTGTATAGAGGAGCCATTTTTTTATATAAATTTGTTTGCTTCTATATAGAGGAGTTTATTTTGTTGAACCTTTGTTTAGATTAGTTATAAGAGTTCTTAAGATTTATGCCTCTATTTAAAAGAGTTCTTTAAAATTTTTCAAAAATCACATACTTTTAAAATTACTTTAGTTGAATTGGGCTCAATGGTTGTCTATGTCTTTGCATCATTTTTGTTTCACAAGAATATGCAAAGAGGAGCAACTATAGACACCCCATTTCATCTAGGGCATGCATCTAAATTTTTAGTTTTGATTTTGTCGAGATTGTTAGGCTTTGGACAAGGTTATTAGATTTTTTAGGCTCCAAATGGACCCCAGTTAGTGTTTGGGCTTTGAGCCCTACACAAAATTTTATCTTAGTTTAGGTTTAGTGCCCAATAGATAGTCTTACTTGTTTGGGCTTTGAGCCTAGTGTATATTACTTTGATGTAGGCTTTGCCCTAACAAGTATTTTATTTTTATTTTATTTTATTTGTGTGTTTATTCTTTAATAAAAACTAAATAAATAAAGGAAAGAAAAGAAAATCAAACAAATTTTCTAAAAATCCCATACAAGAATTAGGCAAAAAGAAATTTTTGGGATTTTTGTTCTTAACCTTGCACGAAATAAGAAATCAAATAAAAAAAAGAGAGCATTGACCGGAATCAAGTTAAAACCCTAAATCAAAGCAACACTGTTTGGCAAGAAAATCAATCCATCTCAATTGACGGCATTCAAGAACAAATCCTTAAAGTTTTTGTAAAAAATTCTTATAAATCATGCTTAAACACACAAAGACGGGAATATAGGGGTGATAGAGAAGAAAAAACTTGTTTAGCAAATCAAAGGGTTTTAGGTTATGGTTATTTGGGTTCGATTTCATTTCTAGGATTTCTGGAATTAGGGTTTGGTATTTTGTCTGGATTCAATTTTTGTTGGGCTTCAGTTTTTAAGGATTTTTTTTTAGGAAAAATCAAAGAAGTTGAAGTTTCCAATGCCAGCGTTAAGAAACCACTGGTTTTTGAAAAATTTTTGCTAGTTTCTAGGAGGCTTTAAATCTGCTAGAGAGAGAGATAGAGGAAAGGTCAATTTTAGAGAAAGAATAGAAATATGAAATCTGAAGAAATAAAAAAGTTTCAGCCTTTTATGCCTCGCTTATACGATGTCATTTTGAAAGATAATAATATCTAGGGCTCACGTGCTTTATCGCTTTCCTACTCGACCCACAATGCAACCTGTTTGATCCACTTCTTTTTTCTACAATGAACCTAGCCACACCGGAAGTCGAGCCATTTAAGCCACCTTTCATGCTTGAAGCCAAGTCGCGTTTCCTAGCCGCCAAACCAAGTCGACTTCAGGTATTTTTATTTTTATTTTTTTTTCATTTTTTACTTTCATTTTATATGTTTATTTCTTTTTTATTTATTCATTTTACTTATTTATTTATTTATCTATTATTTATTTAAAATAGACTTTTATAAAAATATATTTAAATAAAAAAACTTACCAACATATTGGAAGGTGATCATTTTTAAAAAATAAGGTTTTACCAACATATTGAAAAATCTTATAAATTTTTAAATTTAAATTTAAAAGAAAAAATAAAAAGCCTTACCAACAGATTTGAAGGCCAATGTTTTATTTTCAAAATAAAAATTTATCAATATATTGAAAGCTTTTTACTTTTTTTTAAAAAAAGATCAAATTTTTTTAAAATAAAATAAAATAATATTTCTTAATTTTTCATAAAATCATATTAACATATTGGATGATAATTTTCAACAGAATATCTTACCAATATATTGGAGGATATTTTTGACTTTAAACCTGATTTATAGAAATTTATTTCTGTAAGCAAAATTAAGTGAATCTGACGATGGAGTCTCTTCAAAGTATGACAAATAGTCTCATTGAATACTCTGGAGGTAAAAAAATATTCTTAAATTATTACCAACATATTAAGTAATTTAAGGAAAATTTTCAATATTAAAATTATTTGATAAATTATAAATATATTTTAAGGCTTGGATAACTTGAAATCGAATTAGCACCATCTTTTAGATGGGTGATGTGAAGGTGTTATAACCTTACTTATATGTAACTGTAATCCCGAACCCAACCTTTGGTTTCGTGGACTAGAATCTATTATATAAAGATACTTAAGTCAATATTGGAATTCATTTTTAAATGTGACAGATTCAATCAGATGGCCAATTACACCTAAAGAAAAAAGATTTGTGGCAGCTCTTTTAAGTTTATGTTTAGTGATAGGTCCACAAATCTATACATTATAACAAATATGACACCTTATGTATTTTTTTTTTTTACTTTTTTCTTTTTTTTTCCTTTTTTGTCAATATTTTTGTTTTTAAAATTTTTATTTATATAAATTAAAAAAAAAAAACCAATGAAGGTGTCCTTATGGCACACTATTTTGGTTTTTTTTTTCATTTTCTTAATTACATAAATTTTGCAAGAGAATGGGCTGATAAATAAGGATGGCAAAATAATTCGTATTCAATGAGTTTCAATTTGATATGGGCTCTTTTTTCTTCTAATTTATTTTTTATTTTTCGTATTTTCCATTTTCCATTTATTTTTATTAGATAAAGTTTGTAAGAAAATAATATCAATGGAGTTGTCCATATAGTACTCCCATTTGTTTATTCTCTTTTGTATTTCTTTGTATTTTTATGTTTTTTAAATTAGATTAATTTTACAATAAAATGAATCAATCGATAAGGATGGAAAAATAATTAGTATCTAATAGATTTTTTATTTGTCTCAATTTAATATGAATGTTTTTGTAAAAATTTGTTATCGAGTCAAGTTGAGTTAGTTTTTTATAGAAAGCAAGGATGGCTCAAAAGATTATTTAAAGTGTTTTGCTCAATGCCACCATAAAGTATATATAAAGTATATATTTTATTATCTATTTAAATATATATAGTTGTATATATGTATTATATTAATAAAATTATTATTTTATATCTTTTTTAATTTTCCTTTTCCCTTTTTTCTTTTTTTGTTTATTCTTTCTTTTTATTATTTATTATTATTTTTAACTAATAAAATTATTATTTAATACCTTAATTTAAAATTTTAAACTCAATTGTGATGTCCATATAGTATCCCAATGAACTTTTTTTCTTTTTCCTTTTTTTTTTCTATTTGGTATATATTTTTTCTTTTCTCAATTTCTTTTCTTTTTGTTTTATGCCTTTTTTACTAAATTAAATTTGTTAAAAACATAGGCTAATGGAGATGTTCATGTAATACCACCATTTAGTTTTTTTTACCTTTTTTATGTATTGTTAATTAGATAAATTTTGCAACAAAAAGTGCTAATTGATAGAGATACTAAAAAAATCATATCCGACAAATTTTTATCCATTCCAACTTGATGAGAGGTTATTTTTTAAATCAAGATTGAGTTTGGATAGGTCAAATTTTTTTATACGATACAAGATTAGGGAAAAGCATACTTAGGGTGATTTGTCTTAACCTCATTTTGGGCTATATATAAAAGTACATATTTTTTATTAATTTAATTATATATGTATTATATTAATAAAATTATTTGATATTTTAATTTAAAAAAATAATATTTTAAACTCAACAGGGATATCCATGTGGCATTCTATATGAGCTTATTTTTTCATTAATTAAGTTTTTATTTTACTTTTTATGATATTTTTGTTTTATATTTTTATCTTTTATTATATATTTTGTGAGAATAAGAAGTTAATTTAGGTATCTATGTATCATCCTATTTTGTTTTTTATCTTTCATTTTTTTAATTAAATAAAATTTGAAAAATAAAAACCAATGAATAAAGATGACAATATAAAAAAATTTTGACACGCAAAAACGTGCAAGTATCCACCTAGTATATTGAAAACTTGCTAATCCTAACAATAATTTTGCAACTAATCTCATCGAAATTAGAGAATTGTGTATACCTTGTTTGATAATATAAAAACAATGAAACACCTCTAAACCGTGTCCAAGTTTTCATTCAATTACTAGCATTTGACCAATTCAATGTAAATCTAGCCTAAATCTTGATTCGAATCACTAGCATAAATACAAAAACATCATAATAATTGTTATAATGTATCAATCTGGAGACTTGATCGCTAGACATAATTATTTAAAATCAAGAAAATAGGTAGTAACCACCAATTTTTTTTAATGGTGTGATTGGTCACTAAAAAATTTTTATCTTTCTAATGAAACCATAAAATGGGTTTAAAGTTTATTAAAAAGATAATTTTGGTATAACAAAACAAGATTGGGCTCAAGAGTTGGTTACACGTGGGAAGGGTTAGCACCCCTGTAGCGCCGTAAAAATTGGTACCAATTAATTATGCACTATTTATAATTTTGGATAAAAATGGTTTTTTATTTAAGATTTGATAATAATTCCCTTCATTTAGATGAAAGATTTATCACATCATTCCTTTAAAAATAAATATAATATTCTTTGCTAATGATTATCATTGGCAATTCTTCAACATTTAGGCAGAGTACGAAAACTTATTTTTCTTAAAATGTTATTTTAGGTTTTTTTTCAATCAATTTTTTGAAGAACCTTTTATGTAGTAAATGATGGATGTTATAATTAACAATAAACATCAATAATTAAAATAAATATATTTATGCATAGTGAGTGCAAACATTAATTTAAGATAGGATATATGCAAATGTATGTCATGTGAATTTAGGATCAGGTTTTTCAATATAAAAAGCCCATATGAACTTTTCAACCTTTAGGCAGAGTTTGAAAGCGACTATTTATATTTAAGATCCTATTTTATTTTTATTCTCTTATTTAATCTTATCATTATATTGATTATAGAATTATGAAAAAAATTTTAATGAAATAAAATTCCTTAAATATCTTATTTTCTAGGCTGTATTTAGGAACAAATTACTTCACAAAAAAGTTTTCATACAAATCTTTAAAAATTTAGGATGGTTTTAAGGTTTTAAGCAGATTTAAGGTTTCAAGATTTCTTTCAAGGTTTAGGTTAAGGTTTTAGTATTCATTTAGGATATAGAGTTTCACTTAAAGTTTCATTTAAGGTTTCATTTAGGGTTTTGTTTTAAAAGTTTCATTTTAGGGTTTTAGTTTTAAGGTTTCACTTTAAGGGTTTTAGGTTAAAGTTTCACTTTAAGGGTTTTAGGTTAGGTTTTCATTTTAGGGTTTCAAAAATTTATGAACCTTTCTAAAAATCTCCAACATCTAGGTAGATTTTCAGAGCAAGCTTGTTTTCATAATTTCTTTAAAAACTGAATTTTTATAACTTTATATGTTTTTTTCATTACAATTTAATTATTCTTACTTATTTACCTTTATTATTTCTACTTTTACTATTTAATAATTTCTCAATATCTAGGCAGAATTAAATTTTCAAAACTCGATCTTTAACTCCTTTCAACATCTAAGCAGGATTTTCAAAATCATTTTATTATTATTATTATTATTATTATTATTATTATTATTAGGTTCACACAATAATTAGATGCTAATGAATGACACAAAAATGAACCTAATATTTTAGGTAATGACACTACCATATCTACCTTTTTCCCATATTGAAAATCTTTATCTTTTTTTATATGCCACTATCTTATTCTATCTAAAGTAAAAAACATGAAAAGGTTTAGGCTTTCTCCATTTCTACAAACAGCCAACATGTGAAAAATAACTTTCCTCACTTCTATAAATGAATCTCATGCAACAAACCAGAAAACATGAAAATCTTTAAGCTTTTTCTCCCATAAAGAAATATCATCCGACAAACCAGTAAACATATAAAAGGAAGAAGCTTTCAACTTTCATGCAAATAACTCATATGTAAAAAAAAAAAAAGAAAACGAGATGGAGTTTTCTTCAGCTTGAAAAATAGGTCATATGAATTAAACCTAGGATGTATGAAAATCTCAAAACTTTAAGCTTGAACAGGATAACCATAAAGTGTGAAAATATAAGAACTTCATACTTCTATATACAGACCATATGTAGATGGATGAAACTAAAAGCCATGAACGTTGGAGCTTTGGGGTTCATTTAACGACATTTCATATAAAAAAGAAGTAAGAAAAACCTAGATTTTAAGCTGTCTTGTTTCACAACTTACAATCATGCAAAAGACTAGGGTTGTTTCACATTTTTCCTAATTATTTTTTGTTTTTCTTTACTTTATTCTTGCTACTATTTTTTATTCTCTTATTTTTTCTATTAGTTTTTCTTTTTTTTTCCATTGGTTTTTTTTCCTACTAATTTTCTTTGCTGCCAGTTTTTCTTTTAATATTTTACTACTCACATCTTTCTTTTCTTGACCTTTTTTTT